GGGGGGGGGCCCAAGGGCTTCCCCGGGGGGGCCCCCCCCCCCCCCGAGATCAAGCTGAAAGGAACCCTGTGTATGAACAACTCAGGTAAACCATTGCGTGAGGGTAACGTGTAATTTCCCCATCTCTCCCCATCCCAACATACCGGAGCTAGCTCGCTCGCTCTAATCCCACCCTTCTCCCGTCGTTTACTGAATGATTGAATGAAGCTGACGCGATGAACAACGATCAAATAAGCGGTTGAGTCACAAGTCAACAAAAAACTTACGATGGACTAACAAGATGGAAACGCGAGTAGAAAGAATTTTTTTTAAATTTAAATAAAATTGAGGCATTGGACACACTTTTTTTTATAATGACAAAATTACCGATTACCGTCTGAGAAATATGATTGTGTAACACTGAGATAATACATCCATGTTGGGTACAACAGAGATACACCCATGATTGGGTATAACAGAGATACATCCATGATGGGACACAACTGAGATAATCCATGATTGCGTACAACTGAGATACATCCATGATTTCTTTTCTCTGTAACACTAACAGAGACACTCCTGAATAGGTAAGTCTTTATCTTTTATTAAGTTAAGACTCCTTGACTTCCAAAATTTCAACATTGGACAACAGATAGTGTTTCCTTTCTGAACATTTGACCACCAGCGGTGCCAACAACATGAACATTTGACCACCAGCGGTGCCAACAACATGAACATTTGACCACCAGCGGTGCCAACAACATGAACACTTGACCAGCAGTGCCAACAACTTGAACTATTATTTTTATTGTTGATAGTTATTGTATGGATGGTTTTACTTAACTGAATTAAGTGCCAACCCCTTCAAGTTGTTAAATGTGTGTATGAAGTTGTGAACCAATATCTAAATTTTTTAATGATTTTTTAAAGATTTTATTGAAAATTACAATTGTTTCCTTAAATGTTATAATTTGAATCTCACTTTTCATGTATTTGAAATTTGATTTTGTAGCAGACCTGTTTACTCTTACTATTTTGGCATACTATGTACGATTTTGAGGTGTAAAAATTATATAGACNGAATCTCACTTTTCATGTATTTGAAATTTGATTTTGTAGCAGACCTGTTTACTCTTACTATTTTGGCATACTATGTACGATTTTGAGGTGTAAACATTTTATGCCACCGGGCGGACTTTGAGTTTGGCCCCACCAAAAAAACAAAAAAAAACAACATATGGTGCTTTTGGAAAGTGAAATCTGGCAATAAGGAACCTTGCAATAGCACTGTCCCTGGCTTATGCGCTAACTTGTCCATGATGTAATACGTTTTAAACTCTTGCTGAAACCTGCAAATAGCACCACGTTTGCTAAGGCCCCAAGGGTTTGAGTTATTTCCAGTTATATCCAGTTTCCAAATTTATAGGAAAGTGCCGGTAAGACACTGTGATCGGTGGTTGGGAGGGGGGGGGGGAGGGAGAGAATTCAAAGGCACGGAGTGCTCGAGGACTAAACCAGAGTGCGGACAGGGGTCTGGGATTAAGCGCCCCCCCCCCCAACCCTATTCTGATAAATGCAGAATACAAAGATTCATTTTGGCATAGCCTATACCTGAATTTAATTTTTGCAACAATCTACACTTAATCGAGTAAGCAAAAAAAGAAATGCTTAGAAATTTAAGTTCCCTTTACCTGTTTGTGTTTATACAAATATTTTAGTTGTAATTGTTACTGACTATAAATGTTGTTTTATAATATGTTTTTAAACTATTATAAAGTTATTTAATTTGTACTTCTTCATTAGTATATATATTTTTTTTTTAAGTTTCCAAAGTGACGTTCCAAAAAAAAAAAACAGCATATATTTAATACTGCTGCCAGGTTGCTTCGAATGAGATGTGGTGCTGCAGAGTTATAGGCCCTATTCGAGCGTGATATTATGATCAGGCTCGGGTGACTAAAGAAGCTCTGTCTAAATTCGGGCTTCTTTCTAATCTATTTTTAATGCAAACAATGAATGGGTATTTTGTTTCACGTTTTATTTTATCTTCTTTATTATCGCCATCGTACCAGACGCTCGATCCTTTAGCCCACGGAGCTATGGGGACCCCTGCCCGGGCGTACGACAATCACTGCATCTATTCTATTGACAATACAAAGACAGCTATGTGCTCCTTTGTTGACTGTACCCAGGGCCTCATACGCCTTAATCCGACAAAATTATATAGCAAACATAATCATTTTCAAAGTCATAATCGCATGGATTTGCTATAAAACCAGATGAAACTATGTTGTTTTGTTTTGGTGTTTGTGTGGGTTTTATTTTTGGTGGGGAGGGGGTGGGGGGCAACAAATCCCTAGGGGTAGCATATAATTTAAATTTTAAAGAGATTTATTGAACTTAGTTCAAAAATAAACTGTACGTGCAATTATAATTATATGCATAAAATCACAATTACCGCATTTAAATATAGTCGTTCATATTGCATCTTCGAAGTGGCTATTCGTACCCGAGTACCAGAAGTGAGAGGTTGGAATTTAAAAAAAAACTATTTCAAATTTTATTGTTGGGTTTGTAAGACAAAATGAGGTATCAAATGAAAGATAGTTGAATGGATTATATGTTTGTAAACTTACTTCTTCAGTTTAACTAAAATAAACTACCACAAATGACACCCGAATAGTACTGAGTCAAAATGGACCCAGACACTCAGCGCCGCCATTCGCACCCGGGTACCATTAGACTCAAGCTATTCGGATGTCATGTGGTAGTTTAATTTAGTTAAACTGAAGAAGTAAGTACAAACATATAGTCCATTCAAATTCAATCATCTTTCATTTGATACCTCATTTTGTCTTACAAACCCAACAATAATATTTTAAATAGTTTTTTTAATCCCAACCTCTCACGTCTGGTACCCGGGTAAGAATAGTCGCAGCCTTGTATCTTTATTAAATAGCTGCTTCTCCTGTGCCTACTCCTGAAGTTGTATTTCTCTTTTTTTTAAGATTAAAAAATAAATAAAAACTCGTAATACATTTTAACTCCCCCCCCCCCACCGGGTAGTACTATATCATACTTTTTTTTTCATTGTGTTAATTTAGGCCTATATTATTCCTGTTTCCACGTTGGTCTGCATTTTGTATTTTTTTTTTTTTTTTTTTAATTAAAAAAAAAAAAAAAACCCCTAAAACATTTTTACCCCCCCCCCCCCCCCACCGGGTAGTACTATATCATACTTTTTTTTTCATTGTGTTAATTTAGGCCTATATTATTCCTGGTGCCACGTTGGTCTGCATTTTGTTATCCCATGTCATCACACAACATCAAAACAAAATATATATCAATAGTCGTCCTTCGATTGACTAGCCTCCTCCCTAGTTGATGGCTTGTTTTGTTCTACTTCGCTCTTTCTTCTCTCCTAATATTTCTATTTAACTGGGTCAGAATCGTTAAGCTAAATACGCTGTATAGAAGTTATCAAATGTTCTCAAAGTTCAAGTACATGTATCTCAAAATATGTGTAGTGATTGAACTGTAAAATAAAAGAATACCTTGTATCTTTTAATCCCTTTCTTTTTGTTTATCTTGGCGGAAAATACCACCCACCACAGCCTATATACAGGGTGGGCCAAAAAAAAAGTGAGAACATCTCGTAAAATATTACGCTACGAAATGTTCTCACTTTTATTGGCCCGCCTTGTATATGCATAAAAAATGTTGCCAGGGGCGCCCGTCTTTCCTAAGCCACTGGATGCGTCCCATTATGACTAGTAAGACCCTGTGTGACCATGACGTGTCTCGTTATCATATTGGCTGGGGTATATAAGGTCAAATGCGGCGACAGCCTACAAAATAGTGTTAATATGTTAACAGTGTTTGTCATCGTAGCACGTGCAGAAATTCTTTTGCTGCCCTCTCGGATATTACTTTCCATCTAAGTGCTATTTTAAAAATTTAATTCTGTTTTTACTGATGTTTGTTCGCTGATGAATACTTACTGCCGACACGTTCGTTGTTTTGTTGCGTTAATTTTTTTTCACGCTTTCCCATACTTTGTTTCACTTATATCCTGTTTTTCTAACCGGATTGCAGTCTCTCCCCCTTATTATCATCTTATTCAGTAAACCCGCCAATAAAAACAAATACAAGGTAGTCGCAGATCCTTTTATAAGCTTAGACTGAGCTTTTATGTTCATGGTGAAAAGCTTAACTACTCGGTTTAAAATGCGTGAGGATCCACACCCCCATAGAGACGCTTCTGGGTGGGGTCAGTCTGTCAAGATAATAAGTAACTTCTTAATACCGTCCAACAATTAAAATTTCTAATTAATTTTAAGTTTACTTTTAGTTGTGTTGATTGAGTATCTTTACTAATTAGTAATTTCAGGGGGTCGCCTGGCCACCCATAGATTATATGTGGGTGCATATGCACGCCAAGCTTGTGCTGCCCCCCCCCCCACTCCACGAACATGCTCTGTAGTTGGCTGAGGGCGGACCGTCCCCTTAGAACCCCCTTCCTACACCCCAATTTTTATGTGATCTTGCATCACAGTGGGCCAAACTTTGTCAATGGGAGCGTCCATTAATTATGTCAACATAACTGGGGAAAGAGGGTTTGGAAATATTTGACAATTTGTTGAGAAGGAACGGGGGGGGGGGTGGGTGGGTTAGATTAATTGACGTCAACAATCATGTTTTCTCCATTAGAATTTTAATCTTGAAAATTGACTGGTTATTCCATTAATTTTTTTTAAAAAATGAGTGTAAGTGTATACAGTCATATAATTTTTAGGCTTTTAACAATATAAGATTTATGAATGTTTGTGTCTGTGCACTGCAGATGCCTGGTCAGAATGTTGTAGTGCAAGAGAAGTCAAAAGTTGCCCTCTCTTTACCTGTAGATTCTGTTTGTCGCAAATGACTATGGCGGTATGTTTGCGAATTGCGATCATGTTGCAGGTATGGAACAAGGACGAGGTTCAAGTGTCATACACAGTATAGATAAATGATATTGATAGAGTTGGAATAAGATATTTTGAGAATTATGGGAAAGTAAAGTGAGTAACAATAATAACATCGCTGCTTGAACGGATTTACAAAATCTGTAACATCTATTTTGCATCACAAGTCATGTTGAAAAAGCACCGACATTGCACTCTTGGGCATACGAAATTACCACCTTCTCCACAAGAAAAAAAGGATCCGACCAATGCAAGTAGCTGCCAGGAGACAGAGAGAGCTTATGGCAATTATTGCTCGCACTGAACTGGCAATGCCTCTATTTTAAGTGCTGAATGGTTAGATGAGGATGATGTTGACTTGTCTGATTTATTATTTCCGCAGGATGAAAATGCTAAATCAGCTACTAATGTCCTGATAGAGCAACACCTGTCTACTCCATGGGAAGATGATAGCAGCTAGAAACTATACTATAGCTGTCTAAAAGTTTGACACCTGTTGACAAAAGTGTGTGTGTGGGGGGGGGGGGTTAAAATTGTTGACGTAATTAACGGACGCCCACAATACTGAACACAACTTAGAAAATTTCCTCTGTGCGACAATTACCGTTAGTTGTTTTCTGTTGTTGTTTTTTTTAATTTTTTTTTATCTACTCCATGGGAAGATGATAGCAGCTAGAAACTATACTATAGCTGTCTAAAAGTTTGACACCTGTTGACAAAAGTGTGTGTGTGGGGGGGGGGGTTAAAATTGTTGACGTAATTAACGGACGCCCACAATACTGAACACAACTTAGAAAATGTCCTCTGTGCGACAATTACAGTTAGTTGTTTTCTGTTGTTGTTTTTTTTAAATTTTTTTTTAACGGAATATTATTGCACTGTTTTATTCTTAGCAAGCAATTCTGTATGCACGGAACCCGTAAATGTAAAAAACTAGTTCAGCAATATTGGTCGTTTCTTTCTATCCCGTCGGCCGGCTCCGACAATGACAACAAAGGAAAGGAATGCACTCCCCGAACTTAACAATAACTATAACAATAAATTATCATTATAAATGATATTAGAGTGGGATGTAACTGTATTTCACCTAATGTCTTTTATTTATCTATTTTTGTTTGTTTGGGAAAGATACGAGTTACAATAAGCCATTTCACTAGGGAACTAGTCTGGAGCTCATTGCCGCTACATTCACTGTCAACAATAACAAACTTGTGACCTCCTTAGAACTCTATATAACAGGTGCTTCTAATGACGTAAGGTAGGGGAAACCCCGCCATGTGACCTTAAAGACCAATCAAAAAACGAAATATTTCTGCGCAAAGAATATGCGCAGCAGAATTCTTTATGACAACAAAATGCCGTCGGCTTCAGATGCTTCGTCAGCCTCTATACAAACTGAAAAGCCTCATCATTATATGTATGTATATTGCTTAATTAGTTAAGTTGAATTTTAATCTTTGCAGTGTTTATTTTTTAAACTGAAAGTCATACATTTTATTCCAGGTATTTGAAAGAATTTCGCACCCAACAGTGCGAGCTCTTTCTACAACATAAATGTCAACAACATAGGCCATTTACTTGCTTTCATTGGCATTTCCTTAATCAAAGAAGGAGGCGACCTGTTAGAAAACGAGATGGAACTTTCTCGTACAGTCCAGATATTTATTGTACAAAATATGATGAAACAACTGGGATTTGCCCTGATGGAGATGAGTGAGTATTTAAAATATGTGGTCGTGGTTGTAGTAGTGTGGAATGGATCGAGACGACTAAATATTAAAAAAATCTATTTAAAATTTTTGGTGGGAAACTTCAGTAAGAAAATTAAAGGTTATAAATATTTTAAGGTCATAGTTATAAGATTTCTTTATTATCATTTATCCTTATAATTTACGTGTCGATCCATATGCAATGATTCCTGCGTAAAATGCATTCAGTTTGGATTTTCTGTGGAATCATGGACGTCGCATGTGTGATGTAAACAAACCTGGCCGCCATCTTTGTGACCCAAACTGATATTTTATGATTTGGCCGTAACTCTTAATGACGTAGCATTTAATTTTTTTTACAAATATGAATTATGTTAATCAGTTTATTAGTTTTTGAAAATTCTTGAGATATTTTTATTGATGGGCTAATGTAATGTCTCTAGAACTGGCCCGCCTGGTCATGGCCTCATAACAACAAAGACAAAGAAATCTCGCGGCTTGGTCGGCTAAATTTAGGTCTAATTTCAAAATGTTTATACTTGGAAGAAAAAAAACAACGTGCTTTTATGACTAAGTGTACTTATTCTCATTTTTATTAGTGAATAGTGTTTTCTGAAATGTAATTATGGGAAAACTAAGAATTTATAACAAATTTAGTGGTGTATCAAAACAAAATCAGCTGTAGGCTAAATTTAGTCGTGTTGCGTTAAGGCCTTGACCTGAAACTGAACTTGACCTCGCTCAGTTTCATTGACAAAAGCAATATTGTTTACGAGTCTGACAAGCGGGATCTCATTGTTCTGGTTTGCCAGGACAGCTACACGTCGTTAACACAATCACATCGGAAACATGTTTTGAATAACAGGAGCCTGCTAATTTGAATCGGAAGAACACGGCAACACGGAGTTGTTGTTTTTTAGGTGTTTTTTTTTTTTGTGTGATGAAAATATAAACTAAATACATCATGCTTATTTTTAGAAATGACGTAATCCGTCTGAAATAGGTTTATGGCAACGCCGAGTCATGGTGTTTTTACTTTAGGTCGAGTCACTTCCATTTTCTTTTATTTTTCTTTACTTTAAAAAAAAAATGCACAGAGCCCCAAACTAAATAAGGGAGTTGCAGTTATAATTAATACTAAATTTATAGTTTTAGGCCCAAGGGCAAGGGAGTTGAAGTTGTAATTAATACTAAATTTATAGTTTTAGACCCATTTAATTAATTAATTTCAAACACAATCACTTCTATCTATAACTATAATTATAATCTATCTTTTTGAAATTTATCAAAATTTTTCAGAATTTAAATTAAATTATTTTAACATATATTCTATTGTAAACAAAAGCAAAAGATCTAACTTTTATTTGAGCATTATTTTTAAATGACAAACATTAACATGGATGTTATAATTTATAATAAGATATATATAGTCTAGTGATGATATGTCAAATGTCATTATTATCATAAAAAAAACATTATGGACTATATTGTATTAAAATTATAGTAATAAGTTCATATTAATTCTATTAAAGCCCTGGGTCTATTTAGGCCCCTTCAGTTCTGTAACAGGAGTATTGTATAACAATGCATTATGCTTTGTAACTTTAGTCAGTGTTTTTAGCCAATCAAGCATTCTTATGAAATTCTGTGAAAACACTAAAATCACAAAGATTAAAACTAAGCAACATTTTTTTTCTTCCAAAATATGAAACTTCACAATTCAATTTTAAGAATTTCTCCAAAAAGTGTTTTCTTTTACTTAAATTCATTGTTCAGTAGAAATACAGTATGTACAGGTAGTTAATTTATTTATGCTGATAGTATAATGTCTTAATATAAATGTTCTATACTTTAAATTCATTAGCATCTTAAACTTAAATTACATTTAATCTTCTAAATAAAAGCAGCCATTTTTGTTTTGGCTGTTTTAAGATATTTTGTATTTTAATCCCACTTGCTTTTTAATTCACTTGCTAATTTTAATTTTCCCCAATTTATTTGTATTTTCACTTTCCTTAGAAAATTATGAATGATATATAATGTATAGTTTGAAATTCTTTTTTATTTTGTTCTGTTCAGACTCACATGTTTAAAAAAAAATGTTCAACTGATTTAGATAAATTGTTTTGTTTGCAAACCAATCATTAAATAGCCTACTTGTTTCTTTATGAGAAATAAAATATTCTCTCTTTTTAGCTGCCCATTCTTACACAGAACTGCTGGAGACACTGAAAGAAGATATCACTTAAGATATTATAAAACTGGCACTTGTGTATATGAAACAGATTCCAAAGGCCATTGCACTAAGAATGGCCCTCATTGTGCTTTTGCTCATGGAGCACATGATATGAGACCACCGGTTTATGACTCTACAGAAATGCAGCCTTCAATCGAAATTTTAGACAAAACTTCAACTTCTCCAAGCACTTTGGAGAAAGATAAAGTACTTGCTGAAGATCCGAGATGGAATGGTCAGACTTCTTTAATTTTAATACTTGGATATCATAAAAAAAAGACAAATTGAATGTAGATTGTTTGGGTGGCAAAAAAGTTAATAAGTACTATAACCATAAATAATTTGTGTTTCATCGTTCTAGATGCAACAAAGTTATACAGGGTGGGTCAATAAAAGTAAAAAAATCTCGTAAAATGTGATTTAATCACATCAAATTTAGTTTAACAATACCCATACTAGCTTAAAGTCGTTGAAAAGCAAGGACACATTGAAACATGATTCCTGATTAACTAAATATTTTGCAAAAAAAATTCCATGAAGAATTATAATTAATTAAATTATATTTTGAAATAACTCATATGCTACGAGATGTTCTCACTTTTATTGGCCCACCCTGTATATTTTAATAAAATAATTATAAATATAATTTCTATCTAAGGCATATGCACTTTATACAATGTGGAAATTAATGCACATCATTTAAGTAATTATGTGACAAATTTTTTTCTTTAAACATACAGACATAATTTTTATAATATATTTTTTTAGACACAAATTTTGTACTTGCAAATTACAAGACTGAACCCTGCAAACGCCCCCCAAGACTTTGTCGCCAAGGTTATGCATGTCCACAGTTTCACAATACTAGAGATAGAAGAAGAAGCCCCAAACAATTCAAATATAGGTAATTACACAAAAATGCTATGTATAAGCTAGTTCCTAATGATTGATACTCCAAGTGATGTTTTTATTATAAATCTAAAATAATTCATTGTTGAATCTGATGATGATTCTAATTAGTTCTGACTCATAAATTCCTAAGTTTCATAATAGGTTAGTTTCAGCTTAAGAGCATGAAATTTTAATTGGATTATTTAAAATAAATCTTGACATAAAAAATATGATTCTTTTCTTAACAACTTTCCAACAAATATATATAAAAAAATTGAAGTTACTGTCATGTTATTTTGAAAATAAGTAAACTCTTTACATTTGTGTGCAGATCTACACCTTGTCCTAATGTGAAACATGGGGATGAATGGGGGGATCCAACACAGTGTGAAAGTGGAGACAACTGCTCTTATTGTCATACAAGAACAGAACAACAGTTTCACCCAGAGGTATGATTGGATGTAATGATTTCATGTTTCGCTTAACATTTTGAAACATTTTTTAAAAAATATTGTCACATCTAGCAAACAGAGATTTTTAAAAAAAATTTAAAAAAAAAAAAGTTAAAATGTATAGTAGGATAGTTAATCTCTCTAATATGAGTATTCTGTTTGTAGTATCAAATTTTGTTATTAAAAGCTTGAAACATGTAGGCATATCTAGTATCTAGCATTTTCATTTTTGTTGACTATGATTTGAAGGCATTATTTCTGACTTATAATGAGAATCTAATAGTGAGCAAGACAAATATAATAGGCATAGTTAAGAAGAAAAAAAATTATAATTGTGAATCACTTTCATGAGGTTGTATCATTTCTTATCTCAACATGCACCTCGGACTTTGAGACACATGCATTTTGCAACAGATGAAAAGGCTGCCATTAGTTAATGATCATCAATATTTATTTATTCCTTTTGCAATTACTGAAAACCTTCCATCTGAAAAACATATCAAATGGGAAATATTTATATACAACTTTTATTATTTCTTTATCAGATTTATAAATCAACCAAATGTAACGACATGGTTCAAACTAATTGTTGCCCAAGAGGAGCATTTTGTGCATTTGCACATGTAGAACGTAAGTTTGTATCTTCAGCTCTTACATTGAGTTCAAGGGGTAACATTATTGACTGAAGTATTTTTTAAACTTAAATTATTATTTTTTCAGAAAAATATTTCTGTTTGCTTTTTTTAAAAATAGAACATAAGTTTAACAGATATAAGAAAGTAGAACAAATTATTTTGTAATATTAAATTTTTTTTTAAAGTTTTAAGGTGATAGAATCCAAGAGAGTTTGGTATTTTAAGTGGATATCTTCTTTTAAAATCTTTTAAGCTTATCTTTGAGTTTAACAATAACTGTTCTGAGCTACAAGTGTAAAAACAGTATAATCAATTTGAGGTTTAACTGACAACTTTTTAAATGTTCTTTCATATTGGCAGAAGAGATTTCAATTGTCAGAGATGTTTTGTCAAGTTTAAGTAACAATTCTCTAGCAGCATTTGTGACAAATGTCTTACCATCATGTGAGACATCAAACAAACTAGAAACTATCTCAGGAAAGGATGAATTCAATGGGAAAGAGGTACTGAAAATACTGAATTATCTTGTAATTTAGCTGCATTAAGTGTAAACAACTTGTTAAAACTTTGTATTCATTCCCAACTCAAGATTTTCCTCCTTTTTTGATGGGCTGTATCAGTTGACATTTCTGGGCTGTATGGCAGCTGCGTTTTCACTGGGCCATAAAGACACCAGTTGAATCTTAAATTTAGATTTTTATTAAGTGATTTAATGGTTACAAAATGTTAATCCCACCTTATTTAGATTTTCACTTTTATGTTAATAAAAATAATATTAACATTATTTTGGACAGCAGACTAATGGAAAGCCAGATATGAAACTTCCAAATCCTATAGGCAAAGAAAGGGCCAATAGTATACCTTCTCAGCCTAGTTTAATATCTGTAAGTATTTTATTTGGTATTTAAGTTATTTAAAAAATATAGGTAATTAAAACTTGGATTTAATTTTTATGAGTTAATAATGTATGCTATAAATTCTTAGTGTTAAGGTACCATTGATTCTGGTACATATACCATAGATTTTGTTGCCATTATTATTCCAGATGAGTTTGATTAGTAACAATAATGGCAGTGGATACCGTAATAGTCCTCTACCAGATCCATTTATGAAAGCTAGATCCTGCAGTGTTAGCTCTGATTACAACAATTCTCCACTCTACATGCGAGCTCCTGGTTTTGAAAGGGATGAGTACCAAGTAAGTTTTAAATTAATATTCACTTTTTGGGAGCCAGGCTTTACAAGAAGCTAGCAATTTTTATTATCATAGTTTTTTGAGACTCATTCACATCACACAGCATTTTTAACCCTTTCCACCGCAGCATATTGTGTACCTTGTCCCTCACGACTGGGTGTTGCACACCTGTACACTTATTATAATGGGTAAAAGGGTTTCTGGCAATTCCTGGCAACTGGGTGGTTTACACCCATAGTCTTGTATCACAGTAAATGGCTCTCTTTATGTTATTTTCGTTTTTACAATGTGGCATGATTTAGTTTGTGTAACACCAAACTCACTTCGCAGATCACACAGTTTCTCCCACTGAAGCATTTGTTTTGTACATTAATGAAAAAAAACAATAGCTGACTCCACCAAAGGGGAAGGCGAGAAAGTAAAAGAAAACAAATGGCAAGGGACTGATGCGATCTAAATGAAAGTTTTTAGTGCCTGCTTATTACACACTGGCGCTCTTCACCTCAACAGCATTTCAATGGAATTTTTATTCAGCCCTGTTGATGGAAATTGAAATTCTCTTTTTAGGGCAGCATTTTCAATGAAGAGATTCAGCAAACCTCTGATTCATATTGGCTTTGACAACAAGGATACTAGACTAATCATTTAGATATGTTTGAGAAGCATTCCAACTAATCATTTAGATATGTTTGAGAAGCATTCCAGAGTAATTTGGCAAGGTACCTTGTTCCTGGAGAGTACATCACTGTGAGTGAGCAACTGGTTGGTTTCAGAGGTCGGTGCAGATTTATTCAATATATGCCAAGCAAGCCCGGCACATACGGAATAAAAATCTTCTGGGGCTGTGAATCCTTCGAACTATCCTCTTAGAGGCTGCCCATATATTGGCAAAGAAAATGCAAGTGCCCTGCCAGCAAAAAGAAATGTTGGAATATCCCCAGAGACTGTGATTTCTCTCACAACGGCGTCCAGATATAGAAAGTGAAACTGAATCCAAGAAACCAGAGATTGTGCTCTATAACAACAAATTCAAAGGAGGAATAATCACCATGGACCATATGGCGAAAGTGTTCTCAGTGAATACAAAAAAACTAAAAGTAAAAGATGGTCTTTTCTTGTGTTTTTCAACATTGTTGACTTGGCATCAATTTTAGGAAGTGTGACATTTAAATATAAATATCCGACTAACTCACTGTCTCATGAAGACAACAGACAGTCAATATTGACGTTGCACATTTCCTCACCCCTCCGCAAGTAGAGACAATTTGTCCTGACACACTAAGATATTGTGAGGCAGAACATCACCAGTGTTTTGAAATCTTTCTGTTCTTTTATGCAAAAACTGCGAGCTGAGCTGCAAAGCCCCTATTTTTCATGTGTACATCTGACTGGTCTGCTTTGAAATGGTTTGTCAAGTTGAATAGATATTATTATTGTTGGAACCCCGGTACCCAAATCCATTCAAAATATTTATTTATTGTCAAAATTTTAAATCTATTTAATGGATTACACAGACTCAAATAATTAACAAACAAAAACCAAACAAAATGTTAACTAGCCAGTTTTTTTTCTTTTTTCTTCTATTAAATTATGCATGGGTGTGTTACACCCAGTTGCTAGGGACTGTAGGAAAAAAGTTTATGCCCCAAAAAATAAGTCACTTTCGCATGCTTTATACAATTGCATCCACCAAGGTGTTCATTCCAACTACCTTGTGGTTTAAGTGGAGTATGAGAAAGATTATTAAAAGGAGACTCAAGATATCAGCAATCAAAGTCTGTCTCCAGGTGTATTACACTCAGTTATGGCGGAAAGGGTTAAGTGTTTGCAATTTTTAAAAATGTTTTAAATATTAATATTTTGTGTAATTTTGAACCATAAATTATTTTGTGGTAATTTAGGACAAATTATTAGAGAAATCATTTATTTCATCCACATGTAGCTTAAGTTGAGGCAACAGTTAGTTGCGATCGAAAAGGATACAACACTTGATCCAACAGAGAAAGCTAAAAGGAAAGATAATCTGCTACTTATTCATCAGACAGGATTGTACAATTTTAGTCACAGTTTTTCAATGGCACAAGGCTCTACCACTATGTCTCCATTAGCTCCTGCATTTCACCCACCTGGGGATTGTGTGGAATCCGTTTTAGGTAAGTCTCATTTTTATTTAATTATTGTGTAATAATTTTTTAATTTTCTATTTTTATTACCTATATGACAGAAGGTGGTGGAAAAGGCAAATGTTATTAAACTTTATTTACTTAAATATTTTCACAGGAAAAGCATTAGATGAAGTTCACTTGGATGACCTGGATATTGGGAGCTTAGAGAGAGAATTAGATAAAGATATGGATGCCAACTCTGTCAGCAGTTCTATTAGTGCAGGTCTCTCCACATCAGGCTGTTTCAGCAATAACTCCTCAATACCCATTGGCATTCCTTTTAGTAGAATAGCACAGCGAGGGAGCATTAGTAGTTTATCTCAATCTCCACCGTCACCCTTTGGGAGTTTCCCTCACAGCATGCAACCTTTACAGTTGCAGAAGCAAGATTCTAATGACCATGTGAGAGTTTATCTTTATATCTTTATTTCTTACCTATTAAATTTGTTTTACAGAAAGTGTCATGTTTAAATTGGACATATACAATACTTTAGTGATCTATAGCCAGAACAGGTTTCGCATAAATAGAAATAACTATATCTTCTTTTTCTTTGCCTTTTTTTAACTCCCAGTGGAACATAAGCCATTAATAATTTATTTCCAAGCCTTCTGGTATCTAACACTTTCCAGTTTTTATTACTTCTTTGTTGACATTTCTTTGCCAGGTTTATATACTTAGCTTTAAAATACTAAAGAATCTTAAAAACTATTAATTCTGTTACTGCATTCGCAGTCATCCTCACCTTTACTTAACTGTTACCCTGGAATGACCAAGTATCAGATGGGGTCAAATTTAAGTGATACCAACTCAATGTCGCCTCGAAGTGCTGGACCACAATCACCCATGCTCTCTGGGTCTTTCAGTACACATCTTCAGAATGGTGAGGTACATAAACTTCGAGAAGAACTTATTATGGCAAAATCCAAAATGGCTGAATGGGAAGGGGTTTATACCCAGGCAAAATGTGTAAGTAGCTTGTAATTTTTAGATGCCTCTTAGATTGTAACCTGAAGGTTGAGAACTTATAAAATATATAGCCATTCCCTTTGCAACTTTTTTGTTGAATTTATTAATTTTGAAATGTCTTCCATAAAACATTTCCTAAGGAAACTGATGAAGGCCGAGACTCACTTTTATTCTATTTCTGATATGTTAGATATCTCATTCAATTCATTTGGATTAAACTATCTAAATAAATGCTTAAATTTTAAATCAGAACAAGCTCTTACAAATCTTTTGAACTCATTTATAAGGATAAAGACATTTTCAAATCCTCAATGTTGTATACTTTTTTTTTTTAAATTTTGTGAAGCTACATTAGGCTTTCACACCAAAGTTTGTAACCCGCTAATAAATCGACCCCATACACTAATATGTCAGTAGAAGCTATACAGTATTAAAGAAATTATTTATTTTTTAAAAATCTAAACTTTAAAAAATAATAATCGTGAAAGTAAAAAGACTTAATAAACATAAATTATTATGTTTCAATAACACAGGCACTTGCTTTGCATATCCCCCTGATATATTTTTTTGAAAGTTTGGTTTCTGAACAAGTATATATGGTAGTTGTTGTTACTACATTTATAACATTTATACATTAAATGTAATCTGAATTGACAAAAAACATCATTTGTATCTCCTCCTCCCCCTCCTCTTCCCCCCAAACCCTTCCAGCTTTTTATAATTGTATGGTTATAAATAAATTTATTCAGGGAAATAGTCAAATTTCCTTTGGAACTAAGGTAAACGTAGGCAAATATTTTAGGGATATCAGTCTTTGTTCATGAAAAGTTAAATAAGAACTATTTATAAAATATTCATTTAATGACAAACAGCTTTGCTAATGAAAATAGTTTTCAAGTCCCTGAAGACTATTTAGTCATTTATTACTTATTATCAACTGACAAGTTTCAAATACCTATTTAATAGGTAACACATTTTGTTATACAGGCCTGTGATGCTTGGAAAAAGGAAGCTGAAGATGCTGCTAGGAAAGTAAAAATAGCAGAGGAAGAAAAGCAACAAGCTTTGAAACAGAAGGAAGAAGTAAGTTTGTACTCAATAATACAAAATTTCTTTTAACACTTAAAAACAAGTATTTATTATTTTTATTTTTGCATATTTGATTTAGGATTCAGTGATTCATTTTTTGTAATCGGAGAAGTAATGCAGATATTTTATATTTTGTCATTAGGTTATTTCCCAAAACCATAGAATGCAACAGGTGATTGTAATGGGCGGTGGTCCCCACATATACGCACTGTCTAGATCCAGTGAGCTAGATAAACTTAATCTTCAGCAGTTGCAACAGATTAAAGTGCAACTACAACAAGATGTGGAAATACTGGACAAGGTGAGAATTTATGTTTACAATCAGTATTATAGTTGAGTGACTTGCTGCAAGTTAACAGCAGATTTTGTATGAAAAATCATATTCAGAAGGTATGTTTTGGTGCATGTAGTATTATCTTAAATTGTTAGTTTGTTTTTACTTCTGTACAATTTAATTCAAACAAATTTTTTTAAAAATTGAAACTTCTTAAGTTGACACCGTGTAAATCATGTTTTTAAAACAATATTTACTTTGACTAGAAATGTATGGTTTGTTTTCTATCTTATTTATTGTCATGTTTCTTTTTAAATACAGTTAATTTACCAGAAATTTGGAAGGAAAGTTTGATGTGGGTGAACCTTAGAACTTTTACAACTAATCTTTGAAGATCAGTAGTTTGGGAATAATGGCAATACAAAGAAAAGGATTTACCAGACCTTGTCAGCTCTGTGTTCTGGCAGATGGATATGCTTTATTGAAACTACTTACTTAGACAAATAATGCCTTTACTCTAATTCTTCTTTGATGTAAGAGTGCTGTTTATGTGTGTCATCTGTTTTGATTAATAAACATTTATGTGTTCTGATACTTGAAAGCTGAATATAAAACAGCAAATGGAAAAAAAAGTAGTTGAAATTTTTACCACAATAAGACACTCATGAAAACTATTTGTACAGTAAGAATTGTTGTTCTCTAGTGTATGTTTTTTGTTTTGTTTTAAACAAATTGATAAAAAGATGTACATATATCATATTAAAACACATATTTTTTCATAAGTACAATTTAAAATTAGAATTTCACAATGTTTTAAAAATCATTAAAATAAATCAGATAATATAACAAAAGTATTACCCTAATAATATTTTATCATTATTACACCATTAGCTTAGATTTCTAGTTATTTATTTGAATCTTGTTACATTTTCCTGAAGTTATATAACTACTCAATGTTTTTTCCCTTTCAAGGCTTGAGATATCACATATATAAATAGCTATTTTCTTCCTTGGTCAGATGGGGGCAGCATCGTAAATAAAATTTCTCGGTTAACTGCTGAAATTTTAGGGAGAAAATAATATCTCCCTTTTGAAAAAAAGAAAACAGAACAAATAAAATGTTTATTGCTGTAAAACCCAACTATATTTTATATGCTGTTGACTTGTAATATAATTCTTCAGGACTCTTGTCAAAAATTTTCTGCCTACGCTGCTTAGAAAAATTATTTTTGAAGGAATATCAATTAATTAAACTCTGCTATTCAAGTTTTTAATCGCAATTTAAAAAAAAATTGTTTGACTATCAGATCTGTATTTTAAATTATGTCTTGTCGATCAGTTTAATTCAGTTTGTGCATTCATGTTGAGGGCATCTTTTATATTCATTAGCCAATGTAAATACTCTTGGAATTATAGCTGCATTTTAAAACAAGTTTAGAAAATTATTTGCTTAAGGGTTTGTTGATGTTAAGAGTTCAAATTTTGCCTTTCATTGGAAAATGTACAGTATTGCAAGTTTTAGTGATGGAAAGGATAAATAAAGATAGATTTTACAAAATTTTCATATATATATATATATATATATATATATATATATATGTGTGTGTGTAATAGTTGTTTATAAATGTTACCTAAGTTAATTTATGTATATATTTCTGATAGTTAAAGTTTAAAGAATTCACCTGGATATTAAAATAATTATTTGATGACTAAAACTTATCTGGGGCTTTGCCTTTGATACAATTGATGTATATATATATAAATATATATAAATTTCTAAATGTGTTACATTTTAATGTCAGTCAATAAATATCAGAGGTCATATAATTAGTTACACATATAATATATATAAACATTTGTCAACTTTTACTCCTCATTTTTTTCAAGTTCTTGTAAAATTACATTTTCATAGTTTGTTCAATACTCCTGGTGATGTTATATTAATTATACATCTCTATGTAATGGCAAACAAATATTTGGACTGCACTTTCTTAGTCATTTCAGCTTGTGGTCAAGCTCTATTTTTGTATCCCCTTTCTTTTTTATTCTTGTCAATGACTTCTACTAATCAGTTATCTTTAACTGCTGTATTTCCATAGATTTAAAACAAAAATTACCATGTTCCTCATTTGATAAAAGTGTTATCCTGCGATTCGCTCTTCATTATTTTTTTATCTATTGTGAATCTCTTAAATTTGCATTTAAAACAATATAGCACACACAAATTGTAAACTTAATTGTACTCGGCTTAAGATTGCGTACTGGTAGAAAAGTTTATACTTACAACCCCTGTCTACAGTTTTATTATAGACCCATTTTTTAAAATTAATTAAATTTAGGTTAATTACAGCTGAAAAACTTTGTAAATATACAAGGATGCTCTCCTTTTGAAATTTAATGTTACCCCGTACAGTGTAACATTTTAAGGGACCAATAAACTGTTAGTAAAGTATTAATAAAAGAATAATGATTTTGTAATAAATTATTTTCTTTAAGATTGTAACTTTTTATTTGGCAAACATAATGGAAGAATTAGTTGAATTAAATTATAAATACACAATAATTTCAATTAAGTAAAATGTAACAAAAAATTACTTTATTTTTTTTTTTAAAATTATGACTTAGTTATAAAATATAGCACATAACTGTGACACATAGGTATACATGTTTAATCCATTAATTAATTCTGTCAGTCTTAACTTTTGAATATTTATCCTTTAATTTTTATTTTTTTTTTCTCTAAAATTTAAGTTACGATCTGAAAATTTACCCTAGGGTATCTTTTTTAACTAAGCCATTTTAAAAAATGTGTACCTGTCAATGAAATCAATTTTTTTTTTAAATTTCATGTGAAAGTAAATGTTAATATAGAATGTTGAGGTTATAAACAGCTGTTACGAATCATAATAACACTTTTAAAATTCAAATAATTTTCCTCACAATTTTCTTCTCTATAGCTATCTATGGTTTAAAAAAATGAATTTCAAAGATTGCTTTAACTTTTTAGCTTTGCAATTAAATATTTTTTTTATAAACATGGTATCAAAATTTCCTTTTGACTAGCTAGCTTTTTTCTGAATTTCTATTATTACTTTTATTTTGTTTACTTTAGATTTTTAAAGGATTTCTTAACAATGGGAAATTTAATTTTAGGTTTACCAAAATTCTGTTACTTTTTTGTTGTTATTTTTAATATTTAATGAAGAGCATAGATTATTTGCAGAGTGAATACATTTTTGCAAGACCTTCAACTATACAGCCATTACAGCAAAGCAGCTATTTGTGGTCTATTTTCTAATTTCAGAGTTAAAATATACTTTGGATGATAGAATGTTAATGTTTTTGTAAGTGTATTTGTTAAAATTACTTGAAACAAGGGCAGCTGTAAAAGATCTAATAGATCTCAACACTATGTTGAAGCAGGATAGCACATTTCTAGAGTTTGTTCTAGAGCAGGCCTGCACAACTCAAAATGTAAGGCGGGCTGTAATACTTTATGAAAAAAGATAATAGGTCAAGGGGGGCAAAGCTATTAAGAAAATAATAATAATAAAGAATATTTCAAAACTTCGCAGGCTGCAAAGTTAGTGCTGCATGCGGCCCGTGGGCCATAAGTTGTGCAGGCTTGTTCTAAAGTATTCAAAGTTTCTTGTATATTTCTTTGTGTCTTAATCACAGTAAAAAAAAAAAATCAATGTAATTGTTACTGAATCTTAATACAATTTCCTCACATATGTATAATTTTGTGTTGTTGTAATTTTCTTGTTTAGGATAAGAAAATTTATCATGTTCAAAGGCTTGTAATACATTTGTATTAAAACCATTTTGTGCAATTATATCTTATCTGTATATACATTTTTTAAATTGCTTCCTTTACCTCCTGAATAAATTAAACCTGTGGTTCCAAATGACTTTCTGCTGATATATTTTCTATTACAAAAGTAAACTTAAAAAACAACTTCAGCTTTAAGTCTTTCTTGTATCCTAATTTAAGCAGCCACATTTATTGCAAACCTATTGTGTTCTCAAAGATTTCACCCTTTTTGTTAAACTAAAAAAATGACTTGGTGGTTTCAGACCTTCAGTATTTACAAAACATGTTAAGGATATTATACTTTTTGTTTGCCAACTTTCACTGCTATCATTTAAGATATAACAAATTTATTTATAAGAAATAATGGGTTTGTTGTTGCTTTTGCCAAAGATAATAAAAAAATATATTTTAATTTGAAAAGTAATATTAAAGTACTACATTTAAAACAAAACAAAACAGGGAAGTGAAAAATGCCTTGTAGTAAACACAATAATAAAAACCTTTTTTTTCTTAAAAGCAAAACAGGGCTTTAACTTAATTTTTTTTAATTTTTAAATTTCAATAGTAATAATAGAAACAAATTTTGTTTTAATATCCACATATGAAATGAGTTAAAAATTATTTTCTTTTCAACTGGTCTTAAGTTTCAGAGGACCTATAATTTCAATGTACTGCAGTTTCCATTTGAATTTTGATTTGCTTTGTTCCTTTTAGTAGAATATAAATACTTATAAAAATATTTTTTTATCAAATCAAAATACATGTGCTTTGAGTAGTTAAGGGTGTGATTATTGTAATTTAATTGACCCCCCTAGAGAAAAACTACCATTTGGTCATAAAAAGTAAACTATGTAATTAAAAGCTACTTTGAGTGAAGTAATTTCCATTATAATTTTAGCTGACTTCAGCTAATTTGGAATGGATGTTTTTTCTCTCTCATTGAAATTTCTGGCATGTTAATTAGATTCCCTATTTCATTGTGCTCCATAATTCAAATTCTCTTTTAGACGTGATTTTATGTTTACCTTTAACAGTAAGCTATTGCAGACATCTTATGGAAGAAAATAAAAAGTAGATGGTTAGTTAAAACATTTTTTTCACTCATTCAGCTTCATGCGTCATACTACTTTTTAGTTGTCTTTTTATTTACATTTTATTAAAAATCAAACATATAAGTGATCCTATGGTTGCCATAGATTTGAATAGATGATTTATTTAATTAGCTTTCATTGATACTTAGTAGCTATGTATTTATTTAAAAGAAACTTGGTTAACCCTTTTATGTGTCCTTTAATTTTTAAATTTGACTTACATCCTTTCATTATAATATAATTATTCTTTCTACTTAATTTGCACGTCTTGATTTAGTATTTACCTTCTTAATTGTAATTTGTTTTTATTTTTTAATTGTCTAGGATATCAGACTTTAAAAATAATTTCAGTTGTCTTCAAAGGTTAATATGTAAACGCATTACTTTATAAAGGTGTTATTGATATCCTGCATGACTTCAATACTCCAAGCTGCTGAAGTAAATGTATAACACTTAACATGTAGAAAAAAGCAACTGTGCAACATCCTCAATTTTTTTGTCTGAAGTACTCTCAAATTCAATGTTATTCACAAGTTATAATGAAAATATTCATTTTTGAAGAGAATCTTTAGAAAATTAAATCTGTTAACTTATATTATCATTGCTACGATAATGCATTTTTAAAAAAATGTAACTGACAAATCACTGGCCTGGGAAGCATCATAGCACTAGCATATTTACTTACAATAATTTTTATACAAGTAGCCATCACATCCTTAGCCTCAGACATTTGACAGCTACACTTCTACACATTTTTTAAGATATAGTAGTTTTATAAACAATGAAAGGGAGTTCCTCATTCCATTATGTTATTGTATAGTATAAACAAAAGTCTATGTTGAAAAAACTTTTTTTTAAATCCATGATTATTATATCTCAAAATTAACTTAATACATGAGCAATTAATAATCTAATGTATTATTTCAAATTAAATATATTATTTTCACCATAAATACATTGCCACTCTTAAACTCTTCTAATTTTGCAAAACTCTATATTTAATGTAAAATCGTTATTTTTATTTTATTCCGCTGTGAATTATCTCTATTAACCAGTTTGTGTTTTTTGTTTCTTTTTTTGTAGTTACATAACTTTATCCTTTTGTTCATTTCTTTATCCTTCTGATCTTCTAGTACACTTGTAATTTTTTAAATTGTGTTCTTGTGATTCACCATACTGCCAAATGCTTTGTTATGTTAGTGAAATCAAATGGAAATTATTATTTTTGGCTGGGATTTTCAAAATGCTTAAATGCATATGATTTTAATGATAATGAATCCTGTTTTGCTAGCAAAGCCAGATACAGGTTCTAGAAAAATAGTAAAAACTTGAGCAGTAAAAATGTATTTATAATTGCTTCAACTTCAACTATTTTGTTATCTGGGCTTGTTTAAATATAGATCTAATTGTTAATTTTTTTTGTTGTAAGTTTGACTCAACAATGTAACAATACAATAAAAATTGAATTCAATGTATTATTTTCAATTTAAAGAAATATTCAAATGTCTTATTTAAACTTGTTTAAAGGTTCAATTTAGTTATGTATATTAAAGGTTTTTAAAGCAATTATTTAGTTTAATGATTACTAATAACAAAGTATTTCAAATTTAACACAAATTTTAACTGCTACACTTTTTATTTT